AGGCCATCCCTATTAGGTTGGAGAGCATCAAGGCCCAAAGTCAACGATCAAAAATCCTCCAAGTTGAATGGTCGTTTCCAGGGGCAATCAATCTCGTATCAAAACGGTCCTGCGCCGAGGAAGCTGCGATGGCGTCCGATCCCCGTTCGTGTTGCGTCGCTCCGAGGTGCGATTCTTGGACCTCACCTTTGTCACGTAGTAGGCTGTCAGCTGTCGGTGGGCCTTCCGGGGGCTCACGCAAAAGGCCTTAGCAGGTCATGTGTGGCAAGACAGGAACATCGACATGGAATACTGTATCGCACTTTGCTAAGCAATGTGTGTTTGGGTCTGTTTGGCCCTTTGATCAATTGGTCTTGAATGCTTCCAACATCTTCCAACTGGACCAAAGCCGGCAATGGCCTGCACAAGAGTCCAACCCTACACAAATTGCTCACCAAGCCAATCTTGACACGAGGCAGTGTCCTTCATGCCCATCTTCCGAAAAATGCGCTGCCGGAAGAGTTTATCCAAGGGCGTCCCGGACACCACTTCCAACCTAGGCCGAACGCTTCCACTGGCAACCAATGTGCCGCCACCAGCAAATCCCCATAATTATACATGATACAAAATGGCCCTACCAAATGCCACAACTCCATGAAGTTTTGAACCTCAGTTGAACCTCTGGAATTTGTTGAAATGTTGCAGGTTCCAACTACACAGGTGTGCGTCGCTACGTAGATCCTTCCAATCCGAAGTCACACACGTCCCAGAACGTCCAAGCCCATGGAGTATTCCCATCGATCGCCAGGATGAAACTGCAAGGGAAATGTGGCCAGCTCGTCACAAAAGCTTTTCCTCAGTCGAGGACCGTCAAACGAGGTCAAACCGTCGGTTACTTGAATGTTGAACTGGACACTGTTGAATCGGCATGAAATGGTATGAAGCAAACAACAACCAAACCCACTGCTGGACCTCTCCGCAAGCCAGACGCCACTATGACACGACCAATGGCACAACTCAGCCTCGACATCTCGAACCAAACAAAAGTAAAAACGTGTAGAAAACAACGGGTTGAGAGTCAGATTGGAGATCACTCCTGCATCAATCCGCTTGACCAAGGAGAGATATGGCCCATCTTCCAGTTTCTCAGTTTTGCGCTCCCTCGAGGGGCCATAGCCTGACACGGACAGGTGTTCCACTACCGGTTTCAAGCCTGCCCAAGTCACAGAAAAGTCAGGCTACTCCTTGTTGACACTGTGCACTATCCACTCAACTTGGCTGAGCTAATTGCCACGTGTCTTTTCCGGATTCCCAAAGCATCGCTCAGCTTGGAGGCCTCGAATCGGAATCGCGTTCTCGCGTGCCCCGCCACGCCTAAGCCTGAAGTGTGCGTCACCAAGTGCCGCAATGTCATTGGCCGCTTGGAATCGACCAAGCGCCCTCCTTTGGACACCTGGTGGGGCTCGGCGCTCTCGAAGCGCCCGGGCGCCCTCCGACGGGTGCTTCAAGGAGCGCGTTCGGTGATCCAACATGTCAGGTGTCTTATGGTGCTCCTGCTATGCTAGCTCACCACACCTCCCATGGCATCCATGTTTGGGTGGAAAAACCATGAAAAACAAGCCACTCTCAAATTGCAACCCCTGGAACAATCATTGGGCCGTGGAAATTGGCCCGGGGAAAAAACAATTTTCCCAACCGGGGAAGTGTCCACTTCCATGGTTGTTGGAGTGTGCAACGAGGACGGGATCTTTGGACGCGAAGCACGACGACGCGACGATTTCCACGAAGGGATCAACGTGTCCAAGAAACCGAAGTTAGGAACTGAAGAACAAACTGAGCACACTGCAAGTCTTCTCCTTCCCTTGTCAGCATGTCTCAAAGTGGCTCATGTTCCGACCTTCATGTTCTTGAACGCGGGGATGTACTTGTGCACCGGGTCATCGAGCGCCAGCTTTCCCTCCTGAGAGCCAACTCTGAACGCTCTTCTTGCTCCTAGTAATAGGGCACTTGTTACTAGTAGCTTCTTGTTACTAAGTACCATGGCTCCAAGAGCTAGAATGCGGCAAGATGTGGTCTCTGAGCAAAGAGGCCTTCAGTGCTACGCCTTTGGCAACAAAACCCTCACTTCGGAAGTGACCTGGAATGATCTGGATAGAGAGAAGCACGCGCACTTCGGGGCTCCTCCCACAAAATCATGAAGGCCACGGCAGTGATTGGTTTCGTCATCGAATGACATCTGAACAAGGATTTCTGCGTCATGGGCGCTCGTCTTTCTTTGTCCTGATGGGCGCGCCCAGTAACAAGAAGCGAACGTAGAAACAAGTGCCTCGCTACTAGGAGCAATGTTCGCTACTAGGAGCAAGTGCATCGCTACTAGTAACAAGTGCCTTACTAGTAGTAACAAAGAAGCTACTAGGAACCGGTGCCTTACTAGTAGTAACAAGAAGCTTTTTGGGCTAGGCTAGTAGAAGAGGTAGCTAGTACCTTACTTAAGCTACTAGCTACTGGACGCAGGATAGCTCACGCTACTCATTTGGTTCCTAGATTTTCAGGGAAACTCAAGTTGTGAGTCTGGGCGAATCTGCTCTGATCAGCAATGCGAGAAGAGGAAGAGAAAACACAAAAACGGCCAATTTTTCTCCGGCTACTGTTATGAAATTGAACTCGTGCATCTGCGAAAAACTGTTCAGCCCGCTTCAAAGGCCAAACGTGGATTCAACAATTGACGAGGTGAAACATGCATCTCAGTCAGGCTAAAGCAGGCGACAGGGCAATGAAATGCAATGAGCTAAGTAGCAAGCCTCACTAGTTTGCCAAACTTAACCTGTCAGTCAGGATACAGTAGTCCCATGTCTCCTGAGCTCTGCCCGAGTTTTGAGGTGAAACCAGGCAGCCATCAGGCAGCTTCAGGCCATCAGGTTTCTCGACTTGGGCACTCCCAACTGTTCGAGGGATTCTTCTGTCCAATAGCTAAGGCCAGTCCTCCAGGAACGTGAGTGGTCAGGTCTGAAGGGGTGCGGAGGCCATCGCTAGTAGGAGCGATCGGACGCTAGTAGCTTGGAGGCCATCGCTAGTAGGTTGGAATGAAAAAACAACAAGGGGGACAAGGGGCAAGCAATTGATTTAAAAAGCCCATGCATCAGCCCAGGACCTGCGTACTTTCGTCGCTCGCTTGGTCTTGGCTTGGGCATGAGAAGCTGCTGGAGGTCGGACCATTGATGAACCCAGCAAATCATCCCGTGCCTTCCGAAGCAGTGGCAAGGCTTCTTGGCACGAAATCTCCTGAAGATCAACGAATCGTCACTGGTCAACTGGCTGCTCGTCTTGCACAATATCCCGACATGTTTGTGGTAAGGACGTGAAAGTCATGAAACAGGCGCCACTCCTGTGATATCTTCAACCCTAGTATTGATGGCCTCCAACCTACTAGCGAAGGACGTGCTGCTCCTGGGATACCTTGTTGGTGCTGAGCGCCTCATACAGCTGTGGTAGCTCTGCCGATAGACGCTGCCGCAGACTCGGCGGCACAGCACTTGGCCCATCGCTTGGGATTGGGAGGCGGTTCAGCAAATTGAAGGACAGCAACTTCTGGAGTTCCGACATCTGTAAACCTCCTCGTGATAGAAGAAGAGCGCTCCACAGGACTTCCTGAGCATGAAAGAAAACGTCACAAAGCAAGAAGGAAATAAAAAAAACACTGCATGAGCAAGAACACTCTGGAAGCATGGAGAGCGCATTGCCTAAAAGGATGCTTTATTGTTACTAGTAGTAACTTAGTAGTATGTAATGGCCTACAACCTAATAGCGATGGCCTCCACCTAGTAGCTTGTAACTAGTAGGGGGGAGCAGGGAGCATTGCCAAGTTTCTTCCAGCAAGTTTGACAACTCGCTGTCATCGCTTGAAGATTCCGAGCTCGGCGTTTTGTCGGACTCGTTCTGTTTGGGGCTCGAGTGGCTCACCTCCTTCGACTCGCTTGTGGTGTCCGGATCTATTTCGGGCCTCGCGGCGCCGTCTTGCATCATTTGCGAGTAAAGCTGACCAATAGCTGTGAGGAGTTCTTCTCCATCTCCCGAGTCTAAGCCTTCGCACTCGTTCCTTTGGCTTACTTGGACCGTCGGCTCAGTTTCGGGCAAGCTTGGCGGCTTCTCCACTGGCTTCTCTGTCTCCAGCGGCTCTTGCACGGGATCCTGCATCGGTTCCAACTGCAAGGGCTCCAAGGGCTCCAAGGGCTCCAAGGGCTCCAGCTCTAAGGAATCCAAAGGATCCGGCTCAGCACCAGCTCTGATGAGTTGACTGTACAAAGCATCGATGTCACTCAGCATGGCCTCACGTTGAGCCGCATCATCTCTCCCCTCAGCTGCCAAGAAACTGGAGAGTTGATTCAGCTCATCAGGGCTTAGGCTGAGCTCATTACGTTCGTTTTTGGGAGCACCTCGTGGGCGATGCTTGCTTTCCACTCGCTCGACATATCTTCTGGGGCAAACCGGTGCCGCATAAGGCCCCGAGAGCCCGGCAGAAGACCCTGAAGGCCCAGAGCCTTGGCTCTGGCCTTTGTCTCTCGATCTGCCTTTTGTCTCTCGAGCGCGCCGAGGGCCTTCAGCTTCCTCCTCAATGCGCTCTAAGCGTGGCGAACATTGTGCCAACATCGAAGGAATGATTTGAACCGCTGGCGTGTCTGACCCATTCGCCAAGATCTCTTCCATCTCTTCATCGTCTAAATGTTCAAAACGTTCCAAGTATTCGAGCACATCTTCATCGGCATCGATGTTCTCGGCTTCAGTCTTCTTAGGCTTTCTGGGTTGTGACAGCCGATTGCATGCCTCCCTTTGTGAGCGTGGTGAACGAGGTTTCGGCGTTTTGGACGACTCCTTGCAAAGCTGCGAAGAGTCTGATTCAACGACAGCTCCCACCCGGATTGTGGCCTATATGGAAGAGGTATGTTTCACGAACCGGCCCCTGAGCGACTATGAAATACATTGGAAGTACCAGGTAGTAATATAGGGCAGGGCGAGTGGGTGAGAGTTTCAGACAGGATATGAGATGGTTTGACTAGTGAATGGAAGTGTTGACTGGCGGAGTGTGATGTCGAAAGAGGCATGTGGCTCCACCTAGTAGCGTCCCTACTAGTAGCGGTGGCCTCCAACCTAGTAGCTAAAATGAATCTTCACCCGTCCTCCGGAGATTTGGTGCCAGAGGCATCTTCCAACTCCCGCGGCTTTGCAAGCCGCTCCAAGTAGGCCCTTTGCTCCGCAGCAGTCCGACGTGGTTTGACTTGCTCCTAGAGTGGATCACAACTTTTCTTTAAGACCTTTATATATATATATACCGCATATACAGTATATACACCTCTATTTTATCTTTTGGTCTTTGGACCTTTGATCCTTTTTTGTTCCTTTTGTAGTTTGTGTTCTTTCTTTTGGGCCTAAAGACCGTCCATGTTTTGCTCCTTGAGTGGATCGCATCCATTCTGGATCCCAGCGATTTCTTGCCACTCTCGTGGCCTCAAAAGCTGGTCCAGGTAGGCACGCTGCTCCGCTGCCGTTCGGCGAGGCTTCGAGAGTTCCTTCTGAGGTTCCAAGTCCCGTGGTTTCAAAAGTTGCTCCAAATAGGCACGCTGCTCTGCAGCAGTTCGCCGTGGTTCGAGTTCCCTCTGCACTTCAGCAAGACGCTCGCCCAAATGACTGGGAACTTCCTCCCATTCCCGTGGCTTCAGCAGCCGGTCCAAGTAGGCACGCTGTTCGGCAGCAGTCCGCCGTGGCTTGGAGAGTTCCTTCTCCGGCACTGCGGCCTGAAGGACAAACGCAGTGAAGCAAGGACGCTACTAGGGGCTCCTGGCCCTACTACTAGGAGCAAGAAGCTACTAGGAGCATTCTTACTCAACGTTCAGCTTCGACACACCGAGAAACCAAGGGCAGGCACTTGTGGCCATTCTGCTCAGTTAAAGACAACCGGTGAGAAAAAAAAAACTGTGGGAGTTCATTGGTTTGGCACCTTGGTGCTGCATCAGAGTATCCAGCATCTGTAAAACCCATGCCTCGACAAGTCTGCCCTAAATCTTAGTAGTGCAACTCCGGTTTGGCCTCAAACAACTTTCAAGATTGGTCTTGGGAAGAATATCCTACCTGTAGTGGGACCTGCTTCCAGCACCCTTATTCAAAAGGCATGTTTTAAAGTACCATCCTACAAGTCCTACAAATGTGCGTACTAAACATCCCTACCTTATCCAAAAGCCTCCTCCTCAATAACAGTATGATCGTGTAAGTGCGTATCGGTAAGCAAAGTGCCCTCCATGAAAAAGAGCCGCATTTGTCGTGACAATGACAGGTCCCTCCTGTCTAAGGATCACAACAGAAGTTCTAATTGACAAACCATTGGCAAACCTAGAAGTTCTGTAAAGGCCTCATTCACAGACATAAATTTTGCCAAGAAGAGGAAAGGCCCTGTTTAAGCAGGAGGATGAGCAATTTAAGAGCAACAACTCATGAAGTCAACTGCAATGATGGCGCTCGCCGCTAGCCTCTAGCCGTGCGAATCTGAAACACCATGGGTCCATGCCTTCACAGGAACCTTGTAGAGCCGCTTCACCAATTCTTCTTCATCTTCAACTTTTAACCTTGCATGCCATCAAAACGAACTTTTTGTGTGCGTTCTTGTCCCTTGTGACTTGTTCCTGTTCTTTTTGTATCTTTCCGACTTCCTTGGACCTTGGGGAATATGCTTTTCTGGGCGTCAAAGATTGTTTGGTTCTCACTTTGCCCACCTCGGTCGGCCAACGGAAGGATAGCCTTCTTCCTTCACTTCCTTCACTTCCTTCGGCTTCCGAGGTTGAGACAAGGCAGCGACCACCTCTTCGGGTTTCCGATGTCGATCTTCCTTCACACGCACCACCAGGTCACCGTCCTCATTTCGGCGAGGTCCATGTCCCAGTTCGACCAACATCTTGAAGAGCACTGGTTGCTTGGCCAAGTTCACCTCAACAAAGCACTGGCTGTACTGGGTCATGTCTTCACCTGCTTTTTCACCTTCAAGCCGATGCACTTCACAGCCTAGCTGCTTCAACATCCGAAAAGCCACTTTCTTGTTCAATAAAGTGCTATCTTTCGGGTTCGTCACCCGTGTGCTTGAGACATTTGGGTTCGCCACCTCCAGAAGTGGAGCTTTGATCAAATTGGTCTTCAAAGCGTGCTTTTCGTGGGACGCTCCAGCCACACCCAAAAATGCACTAAGCGATCCATAGTCGCTCTCAGGCCCAAGGCCAAAGCTCACCATCGTATTTTGGCGTATTTCGTGCAAAGGTGAGACTGTGGTGAGAGCGCTGAGAAGGCCTGAGACTTTGCAGTGGATACATGTCTTTTGTAAGAAGCCTCATATGACCTGACGCAAGCTGCATGTTGTTTCAAGAGTTTGGTTGCGCCAATGCATCTTTTCAGGCTCTATACAACTCTTGACACCTAGCTTGAGCTGGGTGGGCTGAAGCACCAAAAGCACCACCAGTGGAAAAGCAAATCCATGCTGTTTTGAGCACGCGCACTCACTTACCACTCCAAGGGATGGATGGAATACCCACTTCTTTTCCCTGAAACTAGGGGCTCCGACTACTGTAACTCTGCATTCAGTAGGATCTGCGAACCAGCAAACTCTGCCTGGTATCCGCGGATGTCGACATAGACAAGTTTATTGTCTTTGACAGCACATTCAGCAACTCCGGGCATGTAGCCTCAAGTCAAGGCATGTCACGGCATGTCTGCGACAGAATTCTGGGTCTGGAAGCCATCAGTGTGTGGAGGACAGCTTCAGACTACACAGGTCCAACTCGATATGAAAGCTACTTGCCTGTTGCCTCAGCCCTGTCTACAAAACAACAACACCTGGACGACGGGTGGCCCGAGAGCACAAAGAATAGGTCTTCAAATAGCACGTGCACTGAGCAAATGTAGAAGTATAGACATGCAGAAGTAGTATTAAGGTCTTCAGAAAGCAGGTCTTTTCAACAGAAGAACCCTGCGCAGCGCTGGGAAAAAGACTGACTAAAGACTAAAGATCCCGAAAAGAGAACTGAATTTCTTGGAGACGCCGTCTCTGGTGTTCGAATTGTATGGGTCCAGTCGGCCTCCTGCAATCAGGAACTTAACAAACCTGGGTGTTGAAAGCTGCTTCGGGCTTACCTCAGCACCTCACCTTTTGAGAGAACTAGGTGAAGAAACTACGGAGCCTGCACTACTTTCTGCATACTGCAATTGCAAAGCCTTTCTCACTTCAACCCCTTTGTCCAGTGCAAAGGTTGCCTTAGAATTGGCCTGTCCGGCTGCCACGAAATCTGCCCTTCGAGGTTCACAAGGTGCTGCGCTTGCCACGAAATCTGCACCTCGAGGTTCACAAAGTGCTGCGCTTGCCATGAAACCTGCCAAGTGAGCCACACGTCGACAAGTCACGATTCACTGCACCTGTCACGAAATCAGAGCGCCTCGAAGATCACAGCCATGTCCAAAGTGCTACGCCGAGGTAGAACCGCTCCGATCCCTGGCACCTTTCAGAAAAAGTCGACTTTGGACCACCAAATCACGAGGTTTCCCCTGCGCCTGCCACGAAAAGTGACCACCATGTCCGAAAATGCGCACGGCACCACAACGAGAGCGCAGGCATGAGAAGCACCCGCCGCCGCCACCCAGATTTCGCGAGCCTGCGCAGTCGAAATGCACTTCGAGGATTTCGAGAGGCATGAATGTACTGTAAATAGCGAATTAGCCGGACACGGATGCGCAACACCTCGATCTAACACCGGTGCTTAACTACTACCGTAAGAACCCCTAGTGTGTCCACACTGTTTGGGGAATAAGCGACTTACTTTAGTCTGAATGTCTCCACGATGGTCCTCTGGTGAAGTGGTTGGCTGGGAACGCGGCCCATGGCAATCTGCCGAGCATTGGCGGCAGAGTGGGTTTCCAAGGTCTCCTTGTCGAAGCCCAGCGTTTCCGGGTCACCTAGGAAGTCGAGAAGCGCGAAACGTTCGAAGCCGAAGCCCGGAAACGGAATTTGTTCCTAGCAGCTTCTAGCTACTAGTAATGGCCTCCAACCTAATAGCAACGGCTTCCAACCTGTTCGGAAGTTGTCCAGATTACGCCAAGACGAGCCTCACAATGAACACATGGGTAAACATGAGGAAACCTTGTACAAAGAAAGTGCGTCACCACCAACCTCAGACAGTCAACTCTCTTGACCCTGCTCATTTCCGTGTTCAAGTCATCAAACATTGCCAAGATGCAGGGAGGTAAGTTGGGTAAGCCTCAGAAATGGTGTGGCTGCCGGAAGGGGGCAACGTGGCACACATCACCAAATTAATATGGTGCTTGTTTGGGGCCCATCCTTAAGGTAATCCCCGGCAATTCATGGGGCTCAAGTTGGATCGGTGATCGGAGACTTGAACTGACCTTGCCCGTCCGAAACCCATCAAAAACCCTCACCCCCCTCCAACCTACTAGCAATGGCCTCCACCCTAAGAGCTTCTTGCTCCTAGTGGTTCGGCCAGGAGCTACTAGTTAGCGTCCTTGCTCCTAGTAGCGATGCCAGGAGCCCCTAGTAACTTCTTGTTACTAGTAGTTACTTGCTCCTAGTAGTACGGCCAGGAGCCCCTAGTAGAGTCCTTGCTCCTAGTAGCGATGCCCTTTGTTCCTAGCTTCTTGCTAATAGCAATGTCTGACTCATGAGTTGGACGAACTCACACGTGGACCTTCGCCAAGCGTCTCAACTTCTGCGTCATGGCGGTCGACTCTTTGAGCTGCAACGAAACCGTCAGGAAACCGTCCAAATACTTGCGCAACAAAAACAAGAAGCTAGTAGTAAGAAAGGGCACCGCTACTAGGAGCAAGAAGCTACTAGTAGCTTCTAAGCTACTAGTAGCAATGCCCTTGTTACTAGTAGCTTCTAGCTAAACATGCTAACTGTTCTTTTCAAATTGCTATATTATATTATATATCGCATTGTGTTCTTTTCTTTTGGCCCGGCCTTGCTTAATTAAGTAGGTGAGCATGGACGCTACTAGGGGCTCCTGGCCATACTACTAGGAGCAAGGACGCTACTAATTAACTTTCGGAGAATGACCCATGGCACATGGAACATGCTCGCACGCAGCGCAGGGCCTTTTGCTGCACAGCATTTATGATCCAAAGGGGAGTGGGGCATGGAGGTCATCATGCGTGTCTTCATTCCAATTCCAGTTGAGGAAGTGCTACATTGGGCATCTTCGCTTGGAAATGAAGAATGGCCGTGCGAGGAAGCACCACTACGCAAGTCCTCATGTAACCCAACAATGCTGATTCCCCCTCTGACCATCAATTGCAAGCGTTTGAAACTAGCAGAGACCTCTCTAGTTGTCCCCCAAAGACCACCACAGATGGGAACAGCTGCACGCGTGTGATGGCGGAGCAGTTGCTGCAGGGTCTTCTGGTCTCATTAGTTATTGACAACAATTGGTACTCGTCTAGAGCTACTTGTTCACCATTGATCTACTTCATCTTAGGTTGGAGGCCATCGCTCTTGGGTTGGAGGCCATCTCTACTAATCTACTTCATCAAATCTGGCTGCTTGATTTGACCCGCGCACAAGCTGCCCTTCCGCCGGTAAAGGGAGGGCGCCTTGCCATACTGCAGGGGCTTCGGAGGCGGCAGGCGCAAGGCACACGGGATTCTACAGTCTGACAACCGTTGGTCTACTACTACCTACTCCTGCATGTCACGGTACCGTGCTACAAGCAGACTTTCTACAAGCTCTTGGTTTAAGAAAGACCTTGCCGTTATCAGAATCATTCCATGTGCTCAAAACTCTCACCTCAATCACGACCTCTCCACCGGGATTGAGTTGGAGATGCTACAGTCTTAGCCACTTCTTGGGGCATTGTGAAGCGCAGGTGGTGGCCTCCCAAGTCTAAGACCTCACAGGATTGAAGAAGCATTCAACCTCAACTTGCAATATATAACTCATAATGATATATCCAAATGTTTGGTTCAACGTATTTTGGCCCTCAACGTCTGCAATTCATACAGGTACAGTGCTCTTGCTCAAAGTCTTCGAGAAAAGGCCTAGTAGCAACAAGGGGAATGTCGAGAATGCTCAGAGCGCTGATACTCCCAATCCGTATTGTATGAGCAGGTGGGTAATTAAGGTTCAATTATGTTAAAATTCTCACCGGTTCTGTTTTCTCCTGCAAATGTACGCCTTGCCCTCCGAACCTCCACAAAAATCCACATGCCAGCCACTGGTGGCCCAAACTCAAGTCCAACTTCATAAGTTTGCACAGTCTGCTCTCAACCTGTGGGTTGTAGCCAAATTGAAGCAGCAATTAACTAGACTTGAAGAATTGCCGAATGTAGCACAACACTTGGCACTGCCATGAAACTAACATTGTGGAAATCAGTTCACTGCATTTCATGTGTCGGGAGTCGACCTGGTTCAGATCCACCAGGACATCGTTCCGCCACAAATGTACAAAGACGCACGCACGGAATGCACTTTGGATAGCATGGCACGCATGGAAAGGTGAGACCCTCACTTTTTGGCAGGTGCCTGTAGGCGGCAGGATATGGCAGGATTCACAAATTAAGAACATTGAAACTTCGAAAAGTAATATTAATAAAAACATGTCGACCTAGGATTCATGGGCCGGAGCTACCTCTCCTTTGCGGTTGTGCAGCTCCCGCCCGCCTTCCGGCCCTTCTTCTTGCCTGCCGCCGTACTCCAACCTTTCAGGGATGATCGAATGAGAGGTGACTCCAACCTAATAGCCAACCTAATAGGAATGGCCTCCACCCTAATAGCGATGGCCTCCAACCTAGCAATTGTTTGGGGTTCGTATTGGGTTCATGGATGCTGTTTATACACAGAAGCCTAGGCCCATCATAGGCCTTCATCATCATCTGCATTGTCTGCAGCTGGAGCAGGTTCCTCACAAACACTGAAAGCTCAGCACCGAACGGACAAGCATCATTCACCGTGCCTGCTTTGCATTGTTTATGGGACGTGGTTCATTCATGTTCATTCATCCATTGTACGAACTGCAGGTGGAATCAGAACCATCCAAATAGAGTTAAAATCGTGAGGCAAAAGCGGTGCCCATGATTTGCAGCTGTGGATATGCCGCATGCCTGAAGCAAGTGTGCCCAGCTCCTGATTTCCCAGCACAGCGGCACAAGTCTTTGTCTTCACGCAGGTATGCAGGGTCGGGTATGAAACCTTCCCTGCATGAACCCAGAGGCTGTCAGAGGCTTGAATTGGCTTGAACCCTTTGTGGCGTTTCAAACTACATGCCCAGAACTGTGCTCACTAGAA